TCCCATGAAAAATTTTAGCAGATTTTGAAAATAGAGGTAAAAAAAACGTACCCGTGTCTCACAGTTTCACGAGATCACGTCATAAAAAAATTTTAAGCCGTCATTCCTATTATTTATGCTTATACAGATTGTACATTTTTTACTCGGTTAAAAATATTTTTTTTGTAAATATTGTATGTTTTTACACAATACAAAAAACAAATATAAAAAAGTTCATATTTTGATTTTTTTTAAATAATTTTTTTTTATTTTTTTTTAATGAAACACATTTTTGTATTTATCTTATATTCAATACATGTTGGAATAAAATCTTGGTCGTTTAGTTTGACGATTATACAGCTCGTTCAGACTAAAACCGAATATATCTATATATATATATATATATGGGGCGTGGCCTCGCCTCCCTCCAACGCGCGACACAGTGGCTAAGCAAATAGACTGCATCGCTAATGAGATTTTTTAAGTCCTTACCTGCTCGACCTTTCGTCATGTCGTTTATCACACAAGCAACTGTGACGCGCCTTGGAGGGAGGCGAGGCCACGCCCCATATATATATATATAGATATATTCGGTTTTATTCTGAACAGGCTGTATATTGCTTCAGAATCTCGAACAATTGACCAGCAATATTCACCCAGCAAATGCCTGACGTCTTTTCCCTTGAAGCGTTTTTCAATTGTTAAAATGTCTTGGTGAAAACGTTCGCCATTTTCGTCACTAAAATCGCCCAAATTTGGTGGAAAATAGTCCAAATGAGCATGGAGAAAATGTATTTTCAGTGACATATGTACTTTCATGTCCTGTGTTATAAAATGTACTTTATAACCCGAACTACAGGGAATAAATTCAGATTCCATCTCGGAAAAAATGGTTGTACTGGGTGTTAAAGGTCTTTTACTTTTATCCTCACATATGTTTTCTGAAGGAGCAGTTGGATAATCTTCAGATCGCACTCTTGCGAGAATGACGGATTCTACATCGGCGTAATCAATTTTCCCTCTAGAATTGTACCGAAATCCAAAACTTTTTAATTTTGACATGCAGAAATAACACTGGTCAGATGCGTGTTCGGTACGTCGCGACGCGTCGAAGCCAAATTGTTGGTGCAACATATTTCATACTGTGTGTTTTATCTTGCAATCCATGCAAACAACGGTAACAATAATCGCATAAAACCTCTGGTACATACCATAAGTTTGGTATATACGTCACCAAAAAATAGTCTTCAAAAGCTGTTACTACACTTTTTGTAATATTTCGCATATGGCTTGGAGGTGCAAATAAACCATATACATAACAAAAATTATTTCGATTCGGACACTGCATTTTTACTTTGATTTCAAATGGATGGTTAACTCAACAATCAAAATTAATATGAAAAATTTATCGATTTATCGCTGCAATAATGTTTTTATTTAACATTTAAAGTATTACCCTCGTATAAAGATTGTTTTGAAAACAATGCTTTTTATGTATAAATGCCGCAGATGTGTAATTTTTTTGTTTTTTTGCTGTTTCAATTGACTTCGTATACTTAAATACTTTTTTTTACTTAAATTAAATATGTTTTAGGTACACTTGCTTTAAGACTTTAATCAATTCATTTAAATATCTTTTAATTTTTTTTTAAAATGTTAATTCAACAAAGCTCAATTTTTACAAAAAATTGAATAAATAAAAATTGTAATCACCCGACTTTAAAGCATTTTGATTGGCTTAAAATTGAAACATTTTGTTACTTGTTTAAAAATAAACCGTTTGATATATATATAAATGTGCAAAACTCTGTATAAGATTAAAATAATTTTAAAATGCATCTATAATGGTTGCCTATCCATTTAGTAAATATAATATATATTTTTAACTATGCAGTCCAGCTGTTATCGAGTCTATTAAATTATGTCGCGAATAGTGTGAATAACATTTTATTGGATAGCCCTTAAAAAAATATTATGACGTGATGTGAAAAAACGCCGAGACACGGGTATCATTTTTTTAACTCTATTTTTAGAATCTGTAGAAATTTTTCATGGGAGGGACCAAAAATCAAATTTTGTCGTACTGTGTAATAAAGCCATTAATAAAACAAAAAGCTGTTAGCGGAAGTGGTTATCGCAAGCCACATTTTAATATTTTGACCTATAACAATAAACCCATAGAATATATTTATTGGGATAATATTAATGAGATAGTTGAAAGATTAAAATTATTAGTGGCCTCCAAGGATGCTGGAAATACCTCGAATGATAATGAAATTACAGCAATTATTAATGAGCTGAAAGAAGCAGGTGTTATATATTAAACAAGCATAGTTTTACTATCAGTTTAACAATGCCGCTTAACAAGTTTGGTCAATCTCTTAACCATTCTAATCAAAATTCATTATTGTCAAAATTACAGTATGGTAACAATGTACTAAAATATACTCCCGATGGTAATATTGACGCAGAAAACCTAAAAATATGTAATGTGAAATCACCAACTTTAAATGCAGATGCTACTAATATGGGTTATGTTGATCGAATATATGCAAATTTTTATGCTGATACAATAAAATCACTTAGTAAATTTGAACAAGAGACATTAAAAGCACTCGAGCAATCGGATGCAAAAATAAAAAAGGAAATTGAAAACCTTGATAGTAAAAAACAAGATAAATTAATAATTAATTTAAATAAAGAACTAGCTATTTTAACGCAAAATACCGATGAGTTAAAAGAGCAAATTAAAGAACTTAATAAACAAAAAACAATAATTTTCAATGATTTGAATTCTTTAAAGAATATTTCAAGATCGCATGTAAATGCACGTAATGACTTGGATAGGCAAATTAAATTCCTTCAACAGACTCAAGATGTGAACTTAAAGGATATAAAACAGCAAAATGAACAAAACATTATAGATTTTAAAAGGCAAATCAAAGATCTTAATACAGCTTTAAAGTCTCTGGATACAAACGTGAAAAATGAACAAAACATTATAGATTTATTATTTGAGGACGTCAAAAAAAACAAATCCGCAATCAATGATATGGAGAAAAATATATTAAAAGTGATTACAGTGGCTGCTGGTGCTAGTACTCACTCTTCCACCACACCATAATCATGAAACACACCAAGGAAAAAATTAAACTTGTTAATGAACTTCATAGACCTATAAGAAAAAATTTTAAACGTCGAAAAACAATTATTAAGGGCATTGATGACCTTTGGCAATCAGACTTAGGGCAGATGGACATGTATGCATCAAATAATAAAAAATTTAAGTTCATATTGATTGTTATTGACTGTTTTTCAAAATATTTATGGGCTAAACCATTAAAAAATAAATCTGGGGAAGAAGTTACAAAAGCTTTTAATTTAATATTGAAAGAAAGATGTCCACAAAACTTACAGACTGATCAGGGCAAGGAATTTTTTAATAGTAAGTTTAATGAACTTATGCAAAAATATTCAATAAATCACTATAATACATTTAGTTGTAAAAAAGCTGCAATCGCTGAGCGTGTTATAAGGACTGTAAAAGAACGTCTATTTAAATACTTTAGTTTAAATGGGTCATATAAATGGGTTGATATATTGCCACAAATTGTTTCAAATTATAATAATACAAAACATAGAACAATTAATATGAAACCAATTGATGTCTGTAAAGAAAATGAAAAAAAAGTTTTAAAGTTTGCATTTACACATTTAAAATTAGCAACCAAACCTAAAAAGTTTTTCATTGGTGATATAGTGAGAATAAGTAAAGCAAAACATGTTTTTGATAAAGGATATACTCCCAATTGGACTACAGAATTGTTTAAAATTGTAAAAGTAAAAATTACAAACCGCACCACATACATTTTGGAAGATTTAAATGGTAGACCCATTAGTGGAGCATTTTATGAGGATGAGTTACAAAAAACAATGCGGCCTGATATTTACCTGGTGGAAAAAGTTTTACATAAACGTGGTAACAAAGTCTTTGTGAAATGGTTGGGCTTCGATGATTCACATAATAGTTATATTAATAAAACAGACTCTTTTTGATCACCCCACTCTTTTCCAGTTTCTCACCACAAAATCAAAATTTAATTTAGTTTAAAAAGTAAAGTAAAGCAGTGCACACATAAAATGGGTAGTAGTGCAGATTCCGATTTTGAAGGTTATGATTCCAATCTAAATGCAGTATTTAATAGATATGAAGAAGCTATTAAAGCTGAAAAACGATTAATTTACACAACGACTTATGATTTCCAATTATTCTCGCTGGAATGTGGGCTTAGTGGTGCAAGGGATTTTTTGCCAACAGTAAGAATGGTTAACAAAGTTACTGACAAACATCTCTCTTTTATATATGGTGAATGGGTTGGTGTAATTGAATCACTCCAAGAACTTCTGGATGCACATCACACTGATGAAATTCAGCTTTGGAGGAACATGAAGATTTAATTAAATATTGATGGCAATAATAAAATTTTTAAAATATCAGATGATTGTACCATTTTGTATTTTACGCTAAATGATGTTTTTGAAATTCTTGAATTAAAAAAGTTAATTTTTAAAAGACTTGAAATGTTAAATAATTTAAATTTTAATTATTATTATCATAATCTATTAAAAAGCACTTATGAAGCGATGAAAACTGAACTTGGTTTTTATCCTCCATCCCTTCATGCTGTGCTAGACGTTCTGTCATCCCTATGTTCTTGCGGCACTAGTGTAGAAAGTTATTGTTTTTTAGAATGCTTATACTATTTAGATATGAAAATGTCAAATGATTTAGAAAAATATACTGATTTTTAAATTACAATGAGGTTTTTTTTATTTATAACAGTGGTGAGATGTATTATAACAGTGGTGAGATGTATTATCTAGATGGTTTAGAAAATAAAACATAATAATTAAAGGGAAATTATTTATTATAATTATAAAATTATTTATACAATGTAGCTGCCCAAGGGCAATTTGTGCGTAGTTTACCCTCGTACACAGGAGCTAAGCCTACTAAATTACTACATACTATCTAATAAAGCAATACTAAAGTGCCCATGTGGTAGAGTATCATCTGAATTTAACAACAAATGCCTTTTATCATCATAAGCGCTTAGACCAATTTTACTTTGTTCAATACTATAAACATTATGTGCATTTGATTTGATTATTCTTTGAATTACATTTTTATTAGTTTTTTTCCTCAAACATTCGAGATAATCATTAAATGTTAGGGATTTAACAACATTATACTTGACCCCCTTAGATTTTTTAATACATTTTGAATTTATTGTTTTATATGTATACATTTTCGAGCGCAACCCCACAAAATGAGTTATAATTTCCCCATTCAGTTCATCCTTCATTAAACCAGGAATTTTTTTGTTAACTAAAGGAATATTCCATTTATTATCCTGGGGATAATCGCTAGTATCGAACCTGTGAATATCCTTATGGATAACTTCATCGTATACATCATTACAGGTAAATTCATATATAAGACTATCAGTGTCTGTGTATAACAATTTCGCATTATAATTATTAAAATTGGATAATATATAATCATAATGAAATTCATAAAGACACACTTTGGAAATATCAAGAATTGCCATCCCAATATAAAGAGGTTTATTAAAATATAAAATCAGTCTTATTTAGCTCTATAGCCATAAGGTTTTCATTAAAAATGGTTCGATTATTAAAATTCGGACTCGAGATTAAATTTTTAGCCCCATATCTACCTTCCCATTTATTAACTAATTTAACAATGCGATGTTTTCTTATATTCTCCATTGTTTTTCCAAACACTGCATTATTCATCAGTTTAAACAGGTTTTTTTCAAACTCGTTTTTAGCATTTTGACGCAAATTTGTATTTAAATCTATATAAGATTTAAGCCAGGGTGATTGCCCGAATTTTAAAACCCGATGAATTTTTGTTAAAACAAGCCCTTGCTTAAGAACTTGTTTTAAATTTCTATAGTGAATAACATATTTTGTTTTATTATGTAGTGTAGTCATAAGTTTTGATAATTTTGAATTTGGCGGTTTTTGGTGTTCGGGGCAGAGGGGTAAGTCTTTGTGTAAATCATGTAAATGTTGTGGATATTCCAGATCTACCTCTAAAAAATACCCTTCAGGAGCATCATCAGGGATTTGGGTGACATCGAGATTTGGGTCAGCCCACTTAAACCCTCCATATGGTAAATATTGGGACATGGCCCACCCATATAAATTGTTGACGTCGAGATAGAGTAAATAATTTGATGGTTTGGAACCATCAAATGCATCACCCATATATTTGTTATTAGCCTCCGCATACCGATTGCAACATTGACTTACCCCACCGCGAATACCTTGCTCAATGAATAACAGCATATCAACACATTGTATGGTATCAGGCTTACATTCTGTGATTTTCAGCATACAATCCCAAGTATATCCAGGTAGTGTATAATAATGAGCAGGATCGAGTTGATATGTTTTAAGACAGCTTTCACGAAATTGTTCAAAAACATCGGCTAATAATAGAATATCAGTTTTTAAATATAAATCTGAATACTCTCCTAAATCTTTAATATTAAAAGTATTCCATATTTTAAGAGCATGAGAATAATCCTTAGCACTAATATCACAATCATTTAATTTATTGTAAAAGTATTTTTTAGAAGGTAAATTAGCATATTTTAATTTTTCCTCAGAATCAATGAAATCATATGGAAATACTCCTTTGCGTTCTAATAATTTAATTTTTTCGACGCTTAAATTCGCAAATTCCCGATTAAGAATAGGATATTCCGTTAGATATGATGATAACTTATCTAGAGAAGAAGCCATAAACCTAAATGAATCTATAAACCGAAATTGAATTTTTGTTTTATGATCAAACCATGTAAAAGAAATGTATTTTTCCTTATTTATAGGTAATAATGTAATTTTACCATATTTAGCAATATCTTGAATAATAAAATGACTGTCATAGCCTGAAAAATTATGAAAAACTATTGGTACAACAAATTTTTTATTATAATTTAAATTACATATTTGATGAGCAAATCCACGAAAATTTCCGCTAAAATGGCAATGATCCCGAACTATTACATCACCCTGTATAAAATTTTTATTACAAATATGACACTGTTTAGTTGCATATTTTAAATCCACGTTTGTATTTAAAGGTATTATGTTAAGCATTTTAAATTGTATAAATTTAGATATGTCTTCTATTTCTTTTGCAAACCACTCCATGCAATCTAGCCCTCGATAGCTTTTAAAATATGATAAGTTATCATCATATTTACATTTTAAATAGTAACCAACGCTGAAGGCTTTATGTTCTTGATATTTATGGGACTTTAAATTATTATTATCACTAATTGGTAAAAGAATAGATTCCACGTCAGCGTACAGAATAAACGGTGCTGATTCTTTATTTTTAAAATTTTTAAAACAAATAGATTTTTCTTTAGGAAAAGATATTTTACATTGATTTAATTTTTTACAATATTCCTCATGATCTGTTAATTTAATTTTACTAGTGAAATAATTTAGACAACGATCGCAAATAAATATTTTACCCGTATGCCTAGTATGCTGACTTTTTACTAATCTGGATAAATCTTTTATCCAAACATAATGGTATCCTCATCTTCATCATTATCAACAGAATCTCTTTCATTAGGATAATATTTATTTTGGATACACAATAAATTTATATGTTTATCTAGTTTGTTTTTGGTTAGTCTTGATGGAACTGTTTTTAAAAAAGAAGTCTTATCAGTTTTGATTAGCTCTAGAGTGTAAACGTTAATGGATATGGAATTTAATTTTTCAAATTTGGAAATATCTTGAATTGATATTGGAAATTTAATATTTGCAAAATTTAACACATCCTCGTAATGGGGATATGATGAAGTTCTATCATTATTAGTTTTTGCTTGATGTAAAGCTGATGTAACAGCCCAAGTGAAACAAGCATCATCATCATAATTTTTTACATTTACACAGGCATGTTTTTTAGCAATTTCCTCAGGTAGCCTAATAAAGGATGAACCGTTACCAACCTCATATTTATTTATATTGATTTCTAAACTTAATACTTTTTTTAATGCCCACCCTGAGTCTTTCTCGGAGAATTCGCTAAGTTTGTTTAAAATTTTATCTACAACATTATCTTGAAACCAATTTTTTAAATTTACGCTGCCATCTATAACAATATTTTTTGTACTAAAATACTTTATTTCATTATTTAACTCAATTTTTAAAAATTCACCTCTAAAAGATGTATTTACTTTTAATAGTGGTATGGATTTTAAAATATTTTTTATCCTAGATTGAAATAAATAAAATGCATCATTTAAAAAAGTAAGGGGGTCTAAATGTTTAATGTTAATAATAATACTTTTAAATGCTGTTGTTAAATCTAACCATTTAATTCTATCACTACGTTTAGTCTTTAATGTACCACCCCCCACATGTTTTACACATAAATTATTTATAAGTAATTGATATCGCTTTAACTGACCAATTATTGCTATTATTTTTTTTTTAGTACCTATTGATGTTGATTTTTTCAATAAATTTTGAGAGAGTCTTATATTTTTTTTAATTAAATTTAACCAAACTTTACTAGCATGCGGACAAAAATTTGCACTTAATAACTTAAAGGCATTTGAAATTAAATTAAGTGATGTAGTACTCACATGACCTATTTCTACATCCATTTTAAATTTGTCTTATTTCAAATGTAGGTGTAGGGTGAAACTTGCTGTCATCAAATTCCTTGTGACCTAGATATACTAGACCAAATTTCCCGTTATTGAGCTCCTCCAGGTTTTCCTCAACCACCTTAGTCATTCTCTTTGGTAGAAAAACTGCAAAATCCTTGAACTCCACTAGAGGAATCTCCCCATACTTCCCATTAACAATTTTTAATGCTTTGATTGGGTATAGTTGTCCCCTCTCAAGCTCTTCAGATTTTTTAATTTCTTTATCTTCAGCTGTGGCTACAGCATTAATTTTTTTAAAAAAAGACATACTAAAACTAAATTAAATTAAACTAAATAAAATAAAAAAAATATTACAACTCACCTTATTAGCTATATGGGCACGTACACACAAAAATGATTGGTTTGCGAATGAATATTTCAATAATTTGCGTGCAATTTATATGTTTTCAAAAACCTTGATAACCTAAAGTAATAGGATGTTATTTGATAAGAGCTTAACATGTGCCGGATACATGTATGTAAGTGGTTGATAAATTCCTTCTAGAAATTTCCATTCCAATAAAAATTTGCATAATTACCGCAAATTTATTATTTATCATCTATTTTTAAAATTTTAGCGGTTAAGAACTCAACTTGTGGTGACTTGCAATCAACTTCAACGGATGCATGTGTGTTTGTGTGCAGATAAAAGTTTGCATAATTACCGCAAATTTATTACTTATCAACATGTTTGTATTACAAAGCGAATTTACGTGGCTTGCTTGATAAAAAATTGTTTATAAAAGAAAATAATCGCATGCAAAATGCATTAGTTGGTTTTAAAAATGTCAGCAGACCTGGAGAAGTATTTCCGTGAAAAGTAAGTTTATTTTACATATTTTTATATATATATTTTATTTACCTTTATGTTTTAGATTGTCAGAGTTGAATTATATAACTAATCGCTATACACCTCCACAGGACCTTGAGGAGTATTTCCGTGAAAAGTAAGTTTATTTTGCATATTTTTAAATATATTTTATTTACCTTTATGTTTTAGAAATATAACCCCACCGCCTTCCTTCACCCCCTTTAAGGAGTAAGTTATATTTAATGTTTAATACTCATTTTTTAATTTTATATTTTTCTAAAGAGCAATTAATTGGGCGTACGGAAGGAAATGTGCAGGCTGTAATAATTTTTTTTGTTATTGTTTTATAGATAGATCAAGAGAAATGAGGTAATTTTATTTATTTTGTTGTGTAAAATTAATTAATAATATTTTTTTCTTTATAGTGGTGAGGGGGCTGTGGAGCAATATGTGGTGTATTGCGATGAGGATGAGGTTATTGATTTAACCACACCAACATTTATTGATTTAACCACACCAACATTACATTGCAATTCACCAATGCCTCCACCCACCCCCCAAAACAATGCTGGGTGTAAAGTAAGTATTATACAATTTTAATGTTTCTAATATTGTTTATTTTGTTTAGCGATTTCAAATTCGTGTTGGATCCTACTGAGGGGGTGCGCGATGTTTTTGAGGATCCGCAGGAGCAGCAGCTAGAGCAGCAGCTGGAGCAGCAGCTGGAGCAGCCCCTACCAGCATGGCTTATAGAAAACTACAAACCGCCTAAGACTACATCATCTGGACGGTTTGTGTATAAAAATCCTCAGGGGGATAATTTATTTATTATAAGAAAATTTTAAAAATAAAATGTTTACTTAAATCTTTAAATTTTTTTATTCCCCACCACCCACTTTTCAGATATATACTAATTACCAAGTGTAAATATGGTTAGTTGCTTTAGTTACTTTTATTAAATAACATCATGAGTTTTTCAGTTGTTAATTTTTTATTATTATCAACATTTATCAATAATACGCTTTACGTAAATTATCCTAGAAATACAAACCTTTGTTATGTGAGTGTTAATTTTGATGATAATACAACAATTTCAGAATGGCCTCAGAATTGGCTGCAAATGGATAGAAGCATAGTAAAAAATGTATGCGAAATACAAGTTAATACCTCATCACACCATGTATTACATTTTAAATTAAAATATCTTTTATCCAAGGATGGTGGGAGGACTAGAGTGTTTCATCATATGGATAGTATAAACAGTGCAATAACTAAATTAAATAAATATGATAAAAATATCTCTTTAAATGAGAGTGATATTAATAAAAATACCATTTCAAATACACCATTTTTCACAAAAATATTTATTGAATGTATGTCTCTGTTAATAATTGGAATAATTTTACTAACCATTTATGCTTTTATTATATTTTTAAAATATGCAGTTAGGAAATGTAGTTAATGTATCTTATATAACTTACCTTGAGTTTTATATATTCTAATGTGCGTGTGAAAGGGAGACAAAAAAAATAAAAAAACAATAAATCATTTATTTTTTATTTTTTACCTTGACTTACATTATATTTAAGTACAACATTTTTCTTTTTAGTTAAAGGTAAGTTGATGAACCTGAGCGGATCCTCGAAAACATTCTTCCATCGATCCTCGGATATGTTCATAGTAGTAAAAGCCTTGATTAGATTATTCTTATCTTCATACAGTTTTATATCACTTGTTAACGTTTTTAGATCTTCAATAAATTTTGTTTTTCTTTGCGTATACTCCTCCTCTTTACATCTACTCATGATAATGGGGAAGGTGCTTTTGAAGCCAATCATGTATAATGCGTGCGTTTGCTATGCTACATTGACCGCGATGATTGAAATGATTCATGCACATCAGTGTTTTGCAAAACACTGGATAATCCCATAGGTTAAGGTTTTCAATGTTAACAATTTTTAAATTTGGTAATAACTGTTCGCAGACTGTTTTTAAATATGTATATCCTTGATTTCCATTCATGTAAACAGCATCGTATTCAGCTAATAATTCTAGTAAAATATTATTAATCTCATTATAGTTCACCTGCCCTCTAGAGTAACGAAGACCATGATTTTTTTCTTCAAAGCAAACTTGTTTTTTATTTTTATTCGACAACTGTCTAAATTCTACCATTGGTTTTAAGAGATAATGATTTGTTTGCACTCCATTCATAACTGCTATTTCTTTTGGGTGAAAAAACCATTTTTCTTCGAAGAATAAATTAAATCCCTGAATATTAACAGACACAACCTTCATTTTACACAGACTAATTTAAACTAAAAAAATTAGGATAAACTACGAACTATTTCGCTGAGTGGGAGATGCTCCATAATGACGTCATGTATAATAACACAATATGCTTTTGTATTATCGGGGAAGCCTTTTTTCGCCTCAATATCAACTTTTATATCAACTGTACCTGATTTTAAGGATTCATTTCTTTTAGAACAATCAATTACAAAAAGGGTGTGGTTCTTAAATTGTACATAATTAAGTAGAGGACGTTTTGCTATTGTAAAGTCATTTTTAAAACTTGGATAAAATTGTGTATAATTATAATGGGCCTCAGCAAAATTATTTTTTTCGAAATCCAGGTTCATGCGTTCTATAGGAAAATATTCGCCATTGAGGATAACACGTATATCTGATATATCAATATTGTCAAAATATGATGGATCTTTTGTTTCAACACCTCTTCTATTTTCATGAAAAGCTAAAATTATATAGCGTGGACTTTCCAATGCAGTACACGTTTTAACCGGCCATATTTCCTTAGTAGCATCTTTAGTTAATTGGGGCAGCTCATGAGATTCCCATTTTCTAAATGGAATTACTATCATAATGGGCCTGTCTGATTTTATTGATTCCAACAACTGAAGCTTTAATAAATCATTGGGTGTAATAACTTGTACTTTTAACGAGATATTTTCAACGGTTAATTTTGCCTTTGTGGTACCAACAGCAATAGTTGCATTTTTTTCTTTTATAATTATGCAATCAGAGTCACTTCGAGCTCTTACAAGACGTATAGTCTGTTTACCAAATTGAGCTAGCTGATAATCATTAAATATACCAAATAAATGATGTAATGGTAAACGAATATTAAAAGTTGAAGTTTGAGCAGCTGTATTTACTAAGGGTGGTGAGGGATAATTCCACCCTGCAATGCCTAAATGGTTTGAATCATCGCTACTGTAATTAAGATAGCCCTTAATTGTGCTCACAATACCAGGATCGCGAATACCATCAACTTCTTTTCCATTTAATTCATAAGAAACTCTATCGAACAGAAAAGAAGAAAAATTATTTACAAGGGTGGCATTTCCGTCCCCTTTAGTTATCTCTAATTTACCCTGTATTAAAAGGGCTGCATCATGCATAAGAAGCCAGGAATCCCTTTGATTTATTGAAATTTCTATAACATCATTGTTATTAAAAGATTTAACATAGGGGTAATAAGTTCTGTAGTCAACCTTTTGAATTGTTTCACTAAACTGTGGTTTTCGATAGATGTCGAAGATTTGGTCTGACATGATAGCCTAGTGATTGTAGAAAGAGTCGATTTGAATGACTAAGGTTGTTTGAACTAGGCAAGCGTTTGCTGTCAACTGATTTCAAATTGTTTGTGCTAGGATTTTTATAATAATTATTGAATGTTAACCCCATTATGATAATTTTTTTAATTCCAAACGAATAATTACTTCCTCTCCACGAAAATTAACTGGCTTAAAATCTTGATTTAAAATTACCAAAGTAATATTAAATATTTCCTGTTTATTTATTATTGGTAAATATATAAGGTTTCGAGGAATTTCGTTGATTGTATAGCCCGGATCAACTTCTACCGAAAATTCGTGAATGGTATGCGTTGGTAGGTAATTATAATATGCACCTGTGGATATATTACAATCAATGTGAATGGTTCGAACCTTTATTATATTAACAGGTAGATCTGATTCGTGTTTTTTACCATGTGTTAAAGTACGCTTTGAAAATCCTAATATTTTTCCTATACCATCTGCTTGTGTAAAATCTATTTCCAACGTATTGCTTTGAATTTCACACTTTAAAGTATTATTTTATTTGGTTTAAGTGAAAAATATTTATCATAATCTTCCTTTTTAACGGTGTCAGGAATAATTTGTTGTCTTAGGTAAGTTTCTATATCTAATATTTCATAAGTACCAGTTGGTATTATTATTTTTTTAACACACTCGCACTCGCTTCTTTATAATAAAATGTATTTTCACCTTCTTCAATATTAGGGATGCTGTTATAGGAATAAAACCCTATTAAAGCTATACCGTAGTCAAAATCTGGATTAAGTTGTATTGGATTTGTAAAATCTATACTTAAAACATAATTATTACTTTTTAATGTAAATAGCTGGGACATTATCTTTAAACAACGGTTAA